TTTTTCGTAAATATTGTCAAGTGAGCAGAACGGGAGAGAGTTAGTTTTATCCTTTTGTTTTATCCTTTTACGATCACTGGCTGACGAGTTATTCAACAAAATGTTAAGCATCGGCAATTTGGCATTATTATATTTTTTTGATTTACATTTACTGCGCCATTTAACATTTTGCTAAATTTTTCGGTATCTAGTAATTGTAAAAAGATGATTAATAGCTCGTTGGAATCGCTTCATCAAGATGAATCGAATGGTGATAAGCTCATTTCTCTGTGATCAATATTGACAGAGTTACTACTTAAAAACCATTTAATATTTTTTAATTTCAGAAATTGATCTAGTGATTGGATTTTGATGTATTTTATACCATTAGATTCGTCGTATCAAGACGAATCGAATGGTAGTAAGATCATCTCTTTAAGATCAATATTGGCAGAGTTATTACACAAAAACCATTAATATTTTTTTAATTTCAGAAATTAATCTAGTAATTGGGTTTCGATGTATTTTATACCATTAGAACCGTCTCATCAAGACGAATTGAATGGCAGTAACATCATCTCTCTACGATTAATATTAGCAAAGTTACGATACAATAAAGTTTTGAGTATAATTTTGGCCAAAATTATATTAATTTTTGGCCAGAATTATGATATACTAATATAAGAAATTTTTTATATAGTTACATCTCTTTATAATCACTAAATATACACTTTTGTTGGACCTTAGAACTGTTTATTTTGATAAATTTGTTTCTGCGACTCCTTTGATATCTCTACCGGACTTCTTTGCTGCAGAATTTATGGCTATTGATTGTTGGGAATGTGACTCTCCTTCACCTTCCTGTTTGAGACTCGCACGTGGTCTTATACCGATATCCCTTACAGGATTTCTTGGAACTTACTTTTCATCATCCATTATATGGTCTATTTTAGATGCACCTTTGCACGACTTTCATTTTGATCTTTATGTTCAAATTTGGTTGTGCTGTTCTGTTTTTTTTCATCATTGGGAATTAGCTCAAGGCATCACTAATAAAATGAAATCGTCTGCTATTGGACCTTCTCCTATTTCTCACCCTTCCTTACAAATTTCTCCTGATTTTTCAACACCTTCCTTGGCGACAGCTTCCTTGGATTCCTGGGTTTTTTGGATTTCCTCTTATATAATCCGTGGGGGATCTTGGATTTCGCATTTGGATTTTTGGCGCCGCTTAACAGTTCAGCCTCTACTTAGGATTTCTTTTTGGTAACGAATTGGTTCTTAGGATATGCTGGATAGTTGACTCACACTACTGGCCTTCGGGTAAAGTTGAGGTATGCGTTTCTGTAATAGTTTAGTTTTCTTTACTTAATTTTTTTGTTTAGATTTCTTTACTTGTATGATTCGTGAAGCTAGTTCTTTTTATTTTTTATGTTTATTTTCTATATTCTATTTGTAATATTGTTCGATTTGAGTTTTGTACTTTTCGTTTAAAAATTTTAATAAAAGATAAAGTCATAAGACTGTTTGCTCATAATCACCAAATATGGACTGTTCCAAATGTGTGACTATAAAGAGAGTTGACTGTATTTAATATAATATTCAAAAAAAGTTATTAAAGTAAAAGAATAATATAAATTAAATAAACAACTATATATAAATCATCATATTGGTGGATTTGTTCACCCTCTAATTAACATGTTTATTTTAAGGTACTTTTGTTACACAAATTATTACATATGGCGCAGTAGGACCTGAGACGAACATTAAAAAAATTTTATTTGGTTTTATTAATACAATAATTTGATAAATTTGATAAATAGTTCTTTTAAGCCAAAATATAATAAATATTATTCTTAGCAATACTGATAATATCTGTTGTGGAATCTCACTTTATACAATAGCTTCTAAATCTTTTTTGTGTAAAAATTAATAATACATATGTTTACAATTTGTTTGAATATAAAAGTTCCTATTTTGTCTACAGCAAGATAAATAAGAATTAATAATATGTTTTGAAAAATGCAAAAAATGGACAATTTTATGAAAGTCATTATAAAAAAAAAAATTTTTTAAATATTAAATGAGTCTTAGAATACTTTTATAAATATTCATAGCTATTGTGTCTATATAAATTTTTATTTTACTTTTTGTTTTATTAAAACATACTTACTTTCTAATAATACACATTAAAAATACTATGCAGGTGAGAAATGGGTTTTTTGTTAACGAAATGGATTTTTTTATGTCTATTTTACATTAAATAATTTAAGTTTTGCAAATATAGATTTTTACTTGACTTATTATTTAGTCAAGTGATATTCAATCAGGTGATTTCATGACATTACAAACCGGTTTTGAGTGACAGATATTATGAAAATTATTCAAAATTTAGCATTATGATGCAAAAGTGAACAAATCTGCCAATATGTATAATTTGACAATTAGGGTTGATCACCCTTGGCTCATTGGTTAGTCCGTGAGTCCCCTTGTAAAGCCTGAGTATGGTGATCATGGAAATTAAAAGGATTTTATTGCAAACACTACTACCAATAGTGTGAAGGTACAGGGATTAGTGTAGGCTGGACTGCATTATGGTGAATTAGTATGTACTGGTCAGCGGCATATTTCAACAAAAGGTCATAGTATCCTCCTAGCGTTCCCTATAAGGTCATTGGGAAGCCTATTGTCCTGTCTGAATGGTTACTGCTTGCATACCATCTGGATGAGTTCTTGTCTTGGTGGTCACTTTACGATACTACTAAGGTTGTGATAAACTTTACTGTGAGGGTTCACTAGGGTTCCGCAAAATATCCAATCCGATTTGAATCCGTGAATCAGATCTGAATCGGATCTGGATCAAATTATTAATTTATAATCCGTAAATCCGATCGGACCAAAAAATAATGATCTGATCCGAATTGGATTAGATCTGAATCAGATCTGAATCACATTTTGAATCATTTGAATCAAGCAATAATAGCTATCTGAATATTTTTTTTAATTCAAGAAAAGTGTTTTATTTAACATTTTTTAAAATTTTTTAACAAAAATAACATTTTTTCTTTAGAACTCTTAAAAAAACCAATTTTTCTTTTAAAAAATTCTCACTGACTCTTTAAAAAAAGGGTTTCTGTAAAAAATGAGAAGGAACGTCACGGGTCTAATGATGACAAATTGGCAACCAATCAGGTGCCAATAGCCTTTCTTATTGGGCTCTGATAGGATGGCGATTGGAAAATATTGGACCATTTTTATGAATGCCGATTGTGGTCAATTAATGGCGCAAATCGAGATAAAATCGGAATGCAATATTGGCATCAAATGGGGGAATTAATTTATATATATCAGAATTTACCGATAATATTAAATTGTTAAAATCGATTGCATTTAATAAGTAAATTTATATAAATATATTGCTCAAATTTATTTACATTATAAAAAACAATTAAAATACTAATTTAATATATTAAATGTCCTAAAATATATAATACATAAAGTATTACTCTCGAAACTTATCATCCGATCTAAGAGAACCTACAAAAAGAAGTAAAATGAAACGTTAGTAACGTTTCTTAAAAAAAATTAAAGTTTTGAAGTTTCAAAGTCGAAACTTACCGATCAAAAGCCCAAAAGAAGCCGACATCTAAAAAAAAGAATAAAATTACATCAGTAAGTTAGGTCGGCATAAATCATTGTATTGAAAAGCACTGTAAAATTCGGCGCATTGATCATTGCAATGATTTATGCCAACAAAATACTAAACAATGCACCGATTATTCAGTGCAATGATCATTGTATTGGAGAGTGCATTGATTACTGTGATATGATTCAGCACCTTGATTAGTGTTAAAAGTTTCAGTGCGAATCTGTGACACAAAATTGCAAAGTTTATTTATCTAACTTTAAGTTTATTTTTTATTAAGTTTATTTAGGTATATGGCTTCTTTCTTCGAAGCTGAAGTTTATTTTGCTTCAGTTTCAGTATTATTACTTTATGATTTATCTTTTTATTTTTTTTTATTGCTCATACTAATTATGTTTTTTCTTAACATTCAAACATAGAAATAACATGAAACTTACCCTCAACATTTCAAGTTCAAGAACTGTCTATAAAAGAAAATAAAAATAGAACGTTAATTAACGCTCTTAAAGTAAAAAAAAATCAAAAATCTAAAAAAGTAAGTCTCTTTTTTATCCTTTTGTTTCTTTTAATTTTTTTAATTTCCCTTTGTTGATTGCGTTTGTTTTTTGTAGAAACGGATTGATAATTTGAAAATAGTTCCGATCAGTGGTATTACTAGTCATATGACTTATGGCCAAACCGATTTAGATAATCTTTTTTTAAGAGTTTTAAGAAAATTTTTTCTTTTTTATTTTAGGTAGGGAACTCAGAGTGAAAACGGGATATTAAGGTATTTTTATTAATATTATTTTATTTATCATTATTTTTTTAGGAATGAAATTGACTTTTTCTTTTCATTTAGGAACAGTTCTTTGGCAGATTTCCTAGACTTTCTGAAAAGATAAGTGTTTTTTTGGAGTGTATGATAGCGTAATGGCGTTAGGAAACAATACTAACCCCATTTTTTTATTCTTTTAGGTCCTTGAACACTCCTGAACGCTTCCTGGAATACAGATTTGAAGGTAGGCAGGTGTGTGCTGTGTATTGGTGTTAGAAAACAATACTAACGCCTTTTTTTTATTCTTTTAGATTCTTGGACGCTTCCTAGAATATAGATTCAAAGGTAGATAGGTATATGGTGTATATTTGCATTAGGAAACAATAATAATGCCTTTTTTTATTATTTTTTTAGGTTATTAGAAGCAAAATTTGCGGTAAGTTTCTTTGAGTGAATGCATGGTAGTTAATGGCGTTATGATAATATTAATACCTTTTATTTTTTTTAGATCGTTTGTTAGAATTGAACCAACTGGGACTATGACCAAACCATTAACAACAGGTAAAAATGGTAGAATATTTCTATTTTTTTTTAAAGAAGCGTTATATTAACATTTCTTTGTATTTTGTAGGTTCTTCTGGCTTCCCTTTACCATTGGATTCCTAGTAGGTATTTTGAAGTCAATTTTGATTTTTTTTTTGAAGTGCTATATTAACACTTTTTCTTTGTATTTTGTAGGTTTCTTTCAGCTTTCGGTATTGGATATTTGGATATCGGGTAGGCTTTAAAGACGAAAATTTGTTTTTTATTATTTTTTTTTGAAGTGTTATACTAACACTTCTTTTATATTTTGTAGGTTTCTGCTTCAATATTCGGCTGCTCATGTGGTAAGTTTCTGGAAATTGATTTCAAAATTATTTATTTATTTTTTTTAAAAGAAACGTTTACTAGTAACGTTTCATTTTTTCTTTTTTACTCGGTATAGATTTCAGCTTTGCGTTTAGGTGTTAGATTTTTGGTAAGTTTTGAAGTTATATCATAACTTTAAAACTATTTGTTTTTTTAAAGAATCGTTTTATTAACATTTCTTTTTGTTTTTTCTTGTAAGAGCCAATTTTGAATTTAGCTTAAGTTTGGAAAAAAGCAATTTATTATGACACCATTATTAAATTTTTTTTATTTTAGGAACGATTCAGCCCAGCAATTTCTTGGAATGGAAATTTCTTGTAGGACTTGTGAGTTTTAGGAAGGATTTTTTTTAAAAAAATCTTAATGAAAACGTTATTAAATTAATGTTTCTATCTTATTTTATTTTTAGGAACGGTAGATTTCTTGAAATGGGACTTATCATTATTTACAATAATGTGAGTTTCAGGGGATAATTTAAATTAAATATATACTATAATAGACAGTTAGGTATATGAAAATAAAATAAATACAGTAAAATAAATAAATTAATTAATTAATAAATTAATAAATAAATAGAATAAAATGAAATTAAATAAATAAATTAAATAAAAAAATCTGTGCAATGATTTATGTGATGTATATAAAACAGTGCTTTGATTGATTCTATTTTTCAATGCGCTGTTCTGTGTTGCCTTCGTAGAATCACATGATTTCACGCTGATCTGTGTTGGCATAAAACAATGCGCAGTTTTATGCGCACTTAACTTACTGATGTAAGCCAATTTAAATTTACCAATCCAAAAGGCAGTATTGAAGCCAATACCTAAAAAAAGAAATAAAAAAATGTTATAAAAAGTTATTTTTTTTTAAAAAACAAAGTTTCGAAAAAATAAAAATTTTGAAACTTACCCGATCCAAGTGAAGGGTCTCGCCAATACCTAAAAAAAGAATAAAAAAAAATATTAGAAAAAAGGTTTTTAAAGTTTCGAAAGAACAAGAACGAAATTTTCGAAACTTAGAAACTTACCCAATCTAAGTGAAGGGTCTCGCCGATACCTAAAAAAAAGAAATAAAAAAAAATATTAGAAAAAAAATTTTTAGTTCGAAAGAACAAGAACGAAACTTTCGAAACTTACCGATCCAAAGTGAAGGGTCTCGCCGATACCTAAAAAAAGAAATAAAAAAATATTAGAAAAAGTTTTTTTTTTAAAAAAAAAACAGTTTCAAAAAAACGAAAATTTCGAAACTTACCCGATCCAAGTGAAGGGTCTCGCCAATACCTAAAAAAAGAATAAAAAAAAATATTAGAAAAAAGGTTTTTAAAGTTTCGAAAGAACAAGAACGAAATTTTCGAAACTTAGAAACTTACCCAATCTAAGTGAAGGGTCTCGCCGATACCTAAAAAAAAGAAATAAAAAAAAATATTAGAAAAAAAATTTTTAGTTCGAAAGAACAAGAACGAAACTTTCGAAACTTACCGATCCAAAGTGAAGGGTCTCGCCGATACCTAAAAAAAGAAATAAAAAAATATTAGAAAAAGTTTTTTTTTTAAAAAAAAAACAGTTTCAAAAAAACGAAAATTTCGAAACTTACCCGATCCAAGTGAAGGGTCTCGCCAATACCTAAAAAAAGAATAAAAAAAAATATTAGAAAAAAGGTTTTTAAAGTTTCGAAAGAACAAGAACGAAACTTTTAAAACTTAGAAACTTACCCAATCCAAGTGAAGGGTCTCGCCGATACCTAAAAAAAAGAAATAAAAAAAAATATTAGAAAAAGTTTTTTTTTTAAAAGAATAAAGTTTCAAAAAAACAAAAATTTTGAAACTTACCGATCCAAAGTGAAGGTTGAAGCCGATACCTAAAAAAAATTTAAAAAGCATTAGAAAAAAAATATTTTTTTAAAAAAAAAGATTCAAAAGAAGAACGAAACTTACCTATTCAAAAGAAGAGTCGAAGCCGATACATCATACATACCTAAGAAAAAAGAAAAAAAATTAAATTTATTATTTTAAAAAAAACAAATAAGTTTCGAAGTAAAACCTTCGAAACTTACCGAATCTAAACTAAAAAATGTTTCAAAATGAATGAAACGAACGAAACTTATCGATTCAATTCAAAGAAAGCCGATATCTAAAATGAGAGTGTTTTTTTAAAAAAGGCTCAAAAAGATTATCTTTCAGCACAAACCATAATTGACTAGGCTGATCTGCCAATTGATTTATTTTGCCGATTTTGCCATTGGTCAAAAATTTTGACAATTCTTTTTTTAAAAAATTCATTGGAAGGCGGGTATGTTTAATTGTTTAAAAAAAAAAATTGTGCACTTATCCCTTTTTTTATAAATTCATTTAAAAAGGGGCAGATTTTTAGAAAAAAAAAATTTTATTTCGTTAATTTCATTATAAAATATAAAGGACGCCCCTTTTCCTTTTTTTAAAAATTCATTAGAGGGCGAAGTAATTATATTTAAGAAAAATTTTTTTTTTTACTAGCACTTTTCCCTTTTTTATAAATTCATTTAAATGGGCCAATTTTTATATAGAAAAGAATTTTTATTTCGTTATAAAAGGACGAATTTTTTAAAAATGTTGGAAAAGAAATTTTTTTTTATCACTAATTCACCCTCTTTATAACATTAATACACTATGGAAGTCGGTGATGATGATGATGGTAATGAACAAGATTCTGAAAATGAAGTTTTACCGACAGTGGAAAGTTTTAAGGGTAGTATTGTCTGGATCCATTTTACAAAAGATCCTGATTTTAAAGAAAATAAGAAGGCCACCTGCAAATATTGTTCTAAAGTTTATTTGTGTTCCGGGGGCAGCACATCAAATTTAAAGAAACATTTAAAAAAACATAATATACAAATGAATCAAAATCATGGACAAGACATTAGAGAAATGTTTAGCTCTTCTAAGGTATATGTCTTTACTTTGTTTCTTGTAAAGTTTTTCAAATTTGAATTTCCATTATTAATAATAGTTATTAATTAGTGGGTTTATAATAATGATACAATGAGGGGAAAACTTGTCCAATGGGTTATAATAAATCAACAACCCTTTACCGTTGTTGAAGAACCAAGTTTTATTGAGTTTGTGCATTCACTCCATCCCGGTGCCTTGGTACCCTCAGCAGACACGATCAAGAGAAACATTTACAATCTTTACGAAGTAAATGTTAAAAAGATTAAAGATATTTTGCAAATGGTGCTAGGAAAGATATCATTTACAACCGATATCTGGACTTCCCCCTCAACCAAATCTTTCCTGTCCTTAACTGCCCATTTCATTGATAAAGAATGGAAGTTACGAAGTGTGATAGTTGACTTTATACAAATTTATGGATCTCACACTGGCGAAAATATTAAAAATACATTCATATCAGGATTAGAAAATTTGTCAATTGAAGATAAGGTAATTACTTATTCTTAAATTTATTCTTAAATTTAAGTTAGAATAAATATATTTAATTTGTTTATAAATTTTATAGCTATTTGGCATTACTCTTGATAATGCCTCAAATAATCAAGTATTTATTAATGAATTAAGTAAATAAGCAGATCAAAATCATATCATTTTTAATAGTGAAAACCACTTTAGATGCTTCGCGCATACAATCAATATAAGTGTACAAGAATTTTTAAAATACTTAGATCAAGAACTAAGTTTAAGTCAGGTTAGAATTTTTTTATTTTACTTAATTTTGGTTTATTAATTAATAATTTAATTTATTCATTTATAGCTCAGGCAACTTCTTAATAAAATTCGTGCGTCTACTCAACGGTGTGAAAAATTAAGCCTTGCATGTAAGAATAATAATATTGATGATTTAAAACCTATAATAGATGTGCTAACAAGGTGGAATTCGACGTGTGAAATGATTTCAAGAGCTTTATTAATAAAACCTGTAAGCTTTTTTACGTACTATATTTACTGTAATTTCGTATTATTACTTATTACTTTTCAAATTAATTATTTATTAGGCTCTTGATATTACTGCAATATCTGATCGTGATCTCAAAAGCTATACACTTACAGAAGAACAATGGAATGGACTTAGAAAGATAGTGGATTTTCTTGAACTATTTAAAGAAGTAACAGCAGTAATTTCAGAAAGCACATATTCAACACTTTCTATGATGATTCCATTATTCAATTTTTTAATTGATCATGTAGAAGATATTATTGGAGATAAGAATGAAGAAGTTAATGAAGAAAATGATGAAGAAAATGATGATGAAGATGATGATGAAAATGATGATGAAAATGATGATGAGAATATACAAATTGAAAAATCAATAAAAAAAGCTGCTAAATATTGCAAAGATAAATTATTGAAATACTATGTTAAGACAAATAACGCGTATTCAATAGCAGTTATCTTAGATCCTAGATTAAAAATACAATATTTTAAAGATGAAGAGTGGGGTGATGATTTAATAAATGAAATTAATCAAAAGTATGTACTTTTAAAGTTTTTGATGTATTTATTTAATAATTATATTAATCATTAATTTTTTATTTAGTTTTGTGAATATTTTTAATTCTAATTATGCCACTACCTCCTTAAATTCCAACATTTCCTCCACTTCAAAAGAAAAATCAGTAATGTCACGTGTATTTAAACATCGCTACGTGGAAAATGTAGATGAATTTAAAACATATATTGCTTTACCAACTGTTTCTGGTGAAACTTTAGATCCTCTCGAATGGTGGCGAATTAATGAAACTCAATATCCACAACTTAGTAAGATGGCCCATAATTATTTAGCTATACCTGCTACAAGTGTGCCATCAGAGCAGTGTTTTTCAATTTTGAAAAATTTAATTACAAACAATAGAAACCGTTTAATAGGAAAAACAGTAAAAATAAGTATGTGTTTGAAATCCTGGAATTATTTATTAAATAATGAATAAATAATTATTTATTTTTAAAATTATATTATTTTTTTTATTTTATTTTATTTTTTTCTTAGTATTATAAATATAAGTATCACGTTAATAAAGTAACTAATCTAATATCTATCTATATAACTAAAAAAGGTTAAGTGAAATATAATTAATGACTCACCCCATTCAACCGATTAACAAAGGTTCTAACCTTACATTTCATGTCTCAAGTGTCTAGGTTATATCCTTCATGGTCCGCCCATGGTTTTAACCCATGTCCGTGATATACTTTAACTTGTCATGCTGTGTCATAGAAACAAATCAATATATTATTATAC